TAAATATGAAAAATATACAGTGTTTTACTTGAAGAAATATGAATTCAGTTATATCTGAATAATGAATAACAGGAGCCAAAATTAATATTTTTTGACATAACCCGTATAAGACTGAAAAACTTTGGAATCCAATATTTGGGTCAACGATTTCAAGCCTGGCAAAGCTTTTCACGACGAATAACATGTTTTCCTGAAATCAATAAAAAAAAGTTTCGAATTTGTTGCCAACTGTTCCAGACTATATATATATGGTTACGTTTCTTATATGATTATCAAATATACACAGAAGTGCACGAAAAACGGACACAACTGTAACTTCTGAATCATTTGATTTCGGAATTTGAAAATTCGTCGGTAGCAAGTATATATACTGAATTTCTCATCAATTGACAAGACAATTTTAGTTTGATCACTTCCTGTTTCGACAGAAACGAACCCAACTTTGTATCTTCAAATTGGACACACTGCGTTATATTCCATAATAGTTCAGGTATTATTATGACGAATTCAGTGATACCAGGTTTGGGTTATTTCAAATGATCACGAAGGTATTTGATTTAGATTTTTCCATAAATGCTCAATGGGTGTTACTTCGCAATATCTGTACTTCTCTGTCACACTCATTGGGCATATGGAAGCTAAGAACGCCATTATCTTCTTATTAGTTTGAAATAACCCTGTCAAACCCGCTATCCTAGAACTCGTTATGATAATCCTTATTGCCAAATCATGGAATAATAAACATTAAAAAATCAGCAGTTGGGACAATTTCCGGTAAAACTGGAAGTGACAGAACTGATATTTGGTCAATTGATCAGGATCTGATCCCGAATGAATCAGAAATTACGACAGCACTGGCCGTCTGTTGTGCACATCTCTGTACATATTAAAAGTATTCTGATATTTCCAATTATATGGAGGTAGAATTCTCAAATTCCATGGAAATAGAAAGCTTTCAAAGATACATTCCATGATCGAATGCGAATATTATCAGTGGAATACACTGCTCACCGGTAGCAATGGATTCACTGATATTTCCCAAAGGTGTTTCAATTCTGAAAAATGTATTCCTTGCCTTACTCCTCATGAAGGCAATCTTGTACATTCGATAATCAGGACGATAAAATTTGCTGAAGCGATAAATTGAAGCTATGGAAGGTAAAATCATTTTCCCAGATTTTTTTATATCTTTCTCTCTTCATTTCTATAGATAAAAATCATCAGCAACATGCCTTCTCACTATGACACTTATTCTCAAGACAATTTGAGAGAATTACTTTTTCCATTTTTTATGGGATCAGATTCGTTACCGAAATATCAAAGTATAAATTTTCAAGTAATGTGATTCCATATTTTTTCAATATTACTCTTCTTAAACCATTTTCAAAAGTGAGTGGCACTGACAACCGAATGAATTTTTCTCTTAGGCTCTCTGATAGAAAATTCTTTGAACGCAGTGATATTATGGGACGAGTCCTGACTACATGAAATGGCTCATATTTTAATTTTGCCTTTGTTTCGCTTGAATATTTTGTTCTTTGACAAAATTCGTTGAGAATGCAATTAAATGTACTCACTAGAATTGAAATCACGAGTCCAATCTGGATCAGTAACGGGAATACGGAGGGAAGAAAGTCAAGTTTTTTTTCAGTTCTCTAAAGTTGCCGTAAAAAAATTCTATTTTGAAAGTTTTCAAAACCGTATGTTCCTGAAGTTAGGTAAACTATCAATACAAATATCTGTTTTTTATTTAATTTATAAATTCACTTTATGATTTCCATCTTAAACATTATAGTTATTTATTATACAAGGGAAAAAAGTAGTAGATTTTAGTTCCAGGTTGTGTTGTCTCCCGACGCGTAGCGGAGGGAGACAAAAAACCGTGAGCTAAAATCTAATATTTTTCCCGTGTATAATACACTATTTTTTTCTGTGACAGAAGGAAGGACGAATCAATATTGGGAAGATATTACATTATTTCGAAATCTGAAAATTATCGACGTGAAATTTCAAGTTTTTAACAGTAGGGACACCTGCGTTTTATATACATCTTTATCATTCTTTTGAAGTAATCAAATATCTGATGTCACTTCTGTCAGTTAAATTCTGTGATTTGATTTTAAAAAATTGCGAATTCAGTAGTTGTTTAGTAATATACGAAACCGCGAAGTCGATTGGAAGATAAAAGGACTTGCAGTTCTTACTTGGAGACGGTATTATTGACTTATTTTTCGGAACTATAGCACAACAAAAGCCATTAACAGAGTATATATATGTGATATATATCCGGGAACGAAGTACTCACTTTTTTCCCACGGGAAAAAAGTAATTTATGAAAAGTGACATTTTATAACCTGCCAACAGAGATGAAATGCCAAACTTTTTTCCCGTCACAGAAAAAACATAATAAAGCATTGTACTAACATGTTTTAGAACGTATGCATATTTATCTCAAAAACGGTTCGTTTATCGAAAAAAATGAATGAGCAAAGGAAGCCTCTAAATTGAACGATCTACACAATTTGATCACTGAAAGATGCCAGCGGCGTACTATGAAGAAGTTTGGAGGGGATAAAGAAGCCTCTACCTCCAAAAACGCATCACCCTGTAGATTCTGGAAATCTTCAAAATGCTTGAAATGATGATCTTTTAGAAAGTATCGACTACATAAAATTCCAAAATGACATCTTGAAAAGTGAGCGAGATATTTCAATTGATAAAAAAAAATAATTAAACTTTGACCCCCTGTAGCTCCGTTACTGAACAAGATCGGACTAATGTTTGTATGAACTTTTGTGATTAATATGATGAGATCTATCTCCCATTTCAGTTTGTGCCCCAAAACCTGAATCACCCTGTATATTCTTTAGCGTTATAGGAATATGACTGGAAAACTTCCCAAACATTTTTCGTCAAATGGGAAGCATGGGGAATTCTTCGATATTTTCTAGATTTATAATAGTGCAATATTCATTTTCAGAATGAAAACACGGCAGCAGAATATGTTGAATTATCGAGAAGATATTCAATGTTCCATTTAGTAAAAAATGTGCTTGTTGCGTTTGTTCCAATCAGTATTTTGATTCATCAAACAATCGGAAATCATCCCAAACAAACCCTGAACAGCATCTATATGCATTCGGCGGTACTAACACATTTTGTGCATCTAACTGTGATGAAGTTATCTGTAATAATGGGATATTTAGTGTATTTACAGAATGCTGTACTGATGAAATACGATTCTGATAGAATACGGTTTTGACGAAATACGGTGTTGACGAAATACGGTTCTGACAAAATACGGTTCTGACGAAATACGGTGATGATGAAATACGGTTCTGATGAAATACAGTTTTGATGAAATATGTTTCTGATAGAATACAGTTCCGATGGAATACGGTTCCGATGAATTACTGAAACTATAAAATGCAGTGTCGATGAATTGATGTGACGATGGAATACAGTTCCTATACGATACGATTTTGATGAATTACGATTCTGATGTTTTACTGAAGCGACGAATTACGGTACTGATAATTTACTGAAGCTATGGAATACGGTGTTGTTGGATTAGCATTCCTATGTAGTACGGTTCTGATAGAATACCCTATCGATAGAATAAGATTATGATAAATTACCGTGATGATGAAATACTGTTCTGATGAATTACTGTTATGAGCAAATACGGTTCTTATCGAATACCATTCTGATGAATTACATTCTGACGAATCACGTTCTGTTATAATACATACCTACAAATTACGGAGCTATATTTTACAAAGCGATGAAAAACGTGCTTGCAGAATACATTAGCTATCAATTACGGTACCTACGAATTACCATTCTGATGAAATATATTCTTATAAATTATATTTTGATACATTATATTCTGACGTTTTGGGTGTTCCCGTTTCACTCACAGAACTGACATTAGACAAAATTGCTCGACGTATAAGGTCTCGTAATTTTTTCATGTCAGTTTGTCTCGTAAAATTACTGATTGGCAAATTTGTTCACAAGAAAGAAACATATATTCCATAAAGAAAGCTCTTGTGTGTAAACTATTGAAAATTGAAATCATGTATTGAAAATCCCTTAAGCCGCTGATGTGGTCTTGTCATCATGGCAGTAGCGTTAAGACTTTGCCATAATAGCCCAGGCAACGAAAAGGTATAGAGGGAAATGCTTGGAACACAACTTTCGACTTCTGGACTTTGTTTGGGCTAGTTAGAAGGTGAACATATCAAAAGGCCTCGCCCGTAGTCCTTGAGCCGGATGGGTGGAGGGGGTTTGAAGGGCTCATTTTCCGGTCTTTTGCTTATATTTAAAAAACTATGCGTCCTATCGATATGACCATGCTATACAAAATGGAAGCACATTAAAGTTTTGTTTTGTCAAATTATTTGATATCTTGTATCGTTTTCGATATATCCACTCTTCTAAGTCTGTAATTTCAAAGAAGAAAATTTTTGCTTCACTCTTCTGCTCGTTTTGACCGGATAACTCTTCAACGATGCACCTAAAAAGTATATGCTGGCCATAGGGTTGTAGAACAATGAATTCTCTTCAATAATACATATTGTTTCACTCTTTTATCTATTTTCCTTCGAATGTTGAATCAGTTTCAATGTTTAGCATGAAATTTGAAGCTTTGCGACATCTCTCGACTAATTAGTAATTTATCAATTTCTCACCATTGCCGGTCAACGTATTGATCGATATATGCACCATTATGTGAACATATTCAGTACTGAACGTCTAAATAGTACATAAACTTATTCTGAAATATGAATGCTTATAGGCCCGCTCACCAGATTCCTCACACTCAATCAAACTAGACCATTTTAATGGGAAAATTTATTGCAATGACCATGTTTGTGCATATATGAGTATCTATAAGTAAAGGACTTGTGATTGTTTTACACAACCATCAAGTTAAAACCAAGTTTATTGACTCTGAAGAGTAACTCAACATGAAACATCACAACAGTAGGTATCAGTCAGTCTCTTGATGGGAAAAAATCTTGATCCTCGTCTTCGTTCTCATCTTCTTGTAGGAACACGGTCAGAGGACTATCCTGTTCTTCCCCATCTTCAGAGTCCACTTGAGGCAATACAGGCAGTTCCCCTGGCAATTTTGGCATGCCAGAGAACATTTGAGGCTTGGTTTTTTTCAGCCAAACTTTGTGCTGGCATGGCAGAAACTCATTTTCAGAATATCGTCCGGTGCAGCTGCTAACTCACTATCCACTGGGACACTGGGAATCGTCCTCAATCTTCCACCCATGCATCTGAGGAGGCAGGTCATTTCCCAGCTACACCTGAAGGTGGTGGAATGCTGTTATGGTGCTCCCTTGCTGGGAGGAAGAGGTATCACCTGCCTCTTGTACTTGGGCGGTGGTGGAGGAAGGGACTGAAAAGACCGCTGCTGCTTTCTGGACCTCTCGAGACTTCAGATACAACTTCGCAAATGCGACCTTGCTTTTTCGAAAAGCGGAAGCTGTTGTGTCGTATCCAGTAAATGCGTGCACGTCCTTGAAACCTTGTCGCTGAAGCTCTTGGGACGAGAAAAAGGAATCCCTTGTCTCCCTTCGTCCAGGCTTAATAAAAATAATGCCATTATGCGCATCAGCTTCAGCCATCAAGAGGACTATGAGGTCGACATCTTCACCCACAATGCCGACAGCTGTTGTTTATAATATTTTCACAGCCGTATCCACAATCAGAACGTCCGCATCACTTTCTGCTTGATGGGCCCTAATCCCATTTTCCTCAAGCTCCACCTTGAGCATTTTGATGAACCTGCTTTCGTTGAAATTTGATCGACAAAAAATCTCTTTGTTTGACGTTTATCTCCATGTCTTCGGTGAAATGGATGTCAGCAGACTTCGTGAGTCTATAGCGCATCTACTTCAAAATCACAGACTTTCAAGAATGGATATCTTGAAAACTATACAAGATATCGGAAAATTTTACAGAATAAAACTTGTTGCAAATTCAATCTGCTTCCATTTTATATAGAATGGTCATATCGATAGGACGCAAAGTTTTCGAAATACCATCAAAAACCGAAAAATGAGCCTTTCAAATCCCCCCTACCCATCTGGCTCAAGGGCTACGGGCGGGGACTTTTGATATGTTCACCTTCTTACTAGTCAAAACAAAGTTACTAAGTTAAAAATTGTGTTCCAAGACTTTCCCTCTATACCTTTTTTTGAGCGTTCGTTACTTGAACTATAAGTTTTCCAGCGATGACACGGAACCTAACATTTTAAAACCATGTCAACCAGCATTGTGAACGGTTCCTGATGACTGTTATGCAAATATTTCTCAATTTTGCGTTGTTATAAAGGTAGGAATCTAATATTTGGAGAGTCTGATTCGAGTTTTGTTGCCATTATTAGAAATTCAACTCAATACCTGCCAGAAAGAATGACTTCTCTCGTAATACTCGTAATAATTTCTATGAAGACAATTCTTTTTTTTCACTTCTCCCAGACAACAAAATTCTCATCGAAATGTCAAGTTCACTTCAACACAAAAAGCTCTCGTGGAGTGATGAAATGAAAGATTTTTGAAATCACAAAAATATCAAATAGTTCGTTTGAATAAAGGTCGAAAGAATGACTACAAACACAATGAGTTCAATAATTCTCATATTATCTACTGAATAGCTGACTATTCCATCAATGAATACAGAGGTAATTTCTTTCGAAAAAATAAACTTGTGGTCGCTCTGCTTTCTTTGGATATGTTATTATAGCTTTGTTCATTTTCAGTGAAGGAGTATCAGCTATATTCTTTCTTGATGGATCATAATTTATTATGATTCATATAAGACGGACCTCGGTCGGACCGGAACCAATCTTGGGAATACCAAATAGCCTGGCAATGTCCTCTATAGAGGAACAGCTGCAAAAGCAATTCCTCAAAATATGGCAGGACACACCAGGAATGAGACAATCGAAGCTCCACATAAAGGAACCTTCGAAGAGGCTCGCAAAAGAGGTTTTATTCCTAAACAGGCGAAACCTTAAAATGGTAGTGGGGCTCCTAACGGGGCACAACCACCTCAATAGGCACCTAGAGCTTATTGGGATCAAGGATGACCCCCTTTGCAGATGGTGCCTGGAAGATGACGAAACGTCATCACATGTCCTCACTGAGTGTCTAGCACTGACGCATCAGAGGAGGGCTGTCCTTGGCAACATAATTTTGTGGCCAGAGGACGTAAAAGAGATTCAGCTGAGGAAGCTGCTGAACTTCTCCAAGGCAGTCGGCATACCCAGCTGAATGTCGTAACATGTGGGCGCACAATGGGCCCGAATAAGGAGGCCCACGTGCAGGGGGTTCACCCGCCCACCAGTGCTTCGAAGAAGAAGAAGATTCATATAGTCCAGGGTGGACGTTTTTTCAATTAGAAAATATTTCGTATTGATAAAGCAATTGCTTTAAAGTAGAGATGAATGGTGAATTTCATAATCAGGAATAATCAACTTCGTTGTCCACTAGTCATAGAATATGGATATACTATTACTCAGAATCATCAAAAAGATTATCACATCTTCTTGATGAAGCCCTCTATCAATATTATAATAGATGCAAACAGGTGTCCCTACGCTTCCACTTGCGGATTCAACAAAACGCTTTGTATTCTTAAGAATTGGTTTTCGAATTCAAATGTGTTCACTTCAATTTGTTGAATATACGTGAGAGTGTTAAATAATATTTTAAGAGAAATCAAGATGATTAACTCCACACAGCAGTAATTTGTAGCTGGAGCAGCAAATAATGTTGCTTGCTCTTTTGTATTGCCGTGTATAGCTCAAACAGGTTATTTCAGAGTGATAATATGTGTGACTGCTAGACTGCTTCAAGGGAGGATGGGTGATGTTACTTTGGGGAATTTAAAAGGAATTAATCACTTGCATTTTCAACAATCATATTTTATATCGCAAAAGCTGCTTCACAAAAACTTGGTTCCTGGTTCCGTGGGGAAATCTACTTTACACCTCAACAGCGTATCATAATCTACAAAGCGCAGATACGGCTAGTTTTAGCATACTCTTCTCATGTATTGGGTTCAGCACCCAGACATATACGCAGATGCTCTTAGATTTCATCTAGTGAAGAGTAAATTCAATTCGACAAGCCCAGTCAGCACGTCCCTTCGTCGTTGACCTTGAATATTGTCGAACAACAATCCACCGAAACTCGTTCATCTATGAAACGGTAAAGCATTGAAAATATTTGCCGATAGAAGTATTCACAAGAACTCATAACTTCCAGAAGTTGAAAAAAATCCAACACCTTCCTCGCCTCCTTATCCTTCCTAGGTACGTGCGATGTTCCACGAACATTATAATAATTTTCTTTCGTGTGCTCCAAGAGATTGATTAAAATCATGTCTTAGGAATGATAAGAAAAGAAAAGTCCTACGCTACGTTGCAATGAATAATATGGAGAACTGAAAATCGCAGAATTCTAGAAATTCATAAGGAAACTAAGATTATTTCGTTATCATGAAGCTTCCGGTTTTTCCAAAAGGGACGTCATCTTTGTTATTTTCAATGAGACATAATATTCCAAGTCCTTCCGTCTGATACAAATCCACACTCATTACCTGAAATTAACCGTTTTTCGACTTATACGAGTTTTCCTAAAATGAGTGACAACATACATCATTCTTGAGTGAATTGCAATCATGGATATTTAAGGTTGAATGGATCACTCACCATCATAACACACCATTTTTAAGTGAATTGCAATGTTAAGTGACATGGAGTTATCAAATCATGGATATTCAAGGTTAAACGGATCACTCATCATAATCACAACCACTGAATAATTCACAGGGTGAGCTTAAGAGTGGGAAAGAAAATGTGAAACAATGAAAATTTCATGTTTCTCATATAGAAATCACAAATTTTCTTTCCATAAATTAATTGTATTATGAAAGTCTGATTAACTTATCCATACCCAAAACTCATGATTTGAAAGATATTCCATAAATAGCAGGTCGACCCAGCTTATCAACGGACAACTTGCCAATTTCCATTTGATCAACGGTCAACTCATCAAGGACCTAATTTATCAACGACCTAAACCATCTACGCGCCCGCCTCATCAACAACCAACTTAGCAACAATCCGAATAATCAAGAACCCACCTCATCAACACCCCAATTCCGTCAGCACCTAACTTGTCAACCAACCAACTCATCAACAACCTAAGTCATCAACCTATCCATTTCATCAATACCTAAATCATCGACGACCTAATTCATCAACCAACCAACATATCGACGTATAGTCATAACACCGACACCCAATTAACCAACCACCCAAACCATCACCGACCCATATCATCATCGCACCCATGCCATCAACACCCAACTCACCAAAAACCCAAATCATGAAAAGCCGGATTCATCAACAACCCGATTCACCAACGTATCAACCTCATCAACAGCCAATTCATCAACAACACGATTCATCAACGCACTCCTTTCATCAACATCCAACTCATCAACGACCCAACTCATCAACGACCCAACTCATCAACGACTCAACTCATCAACGACTCAACTTATCGGCCCAACGACCCATTTCACCAACGACTCAACTAACCAAGGGTCCAACTCACCAACGACCCAACTCACCAACGACCCAACTCACCAGCAACCCACTCATCAACGATCCAACTCATAAACGCCCCAACTCAACAACGTATCTCATCAACGACTCAACTCATCAATGACCCAATTATATGGCCTAATTGGCAGAATTGATTCAGAGGTTGAATTAGACAACCCTAAAAGCACAACCATGTCCTTCGAACATTGTTCTTGAAACTTTCGACAAAATTTGTAGGTAATACATTATACTACGTCCTATCTTATGGGAATAATTTGATAAGTGGTATTATCTCTATTTCAGAAATGAAACCTTCATTCAATTTTTGATTTCTGTCTTTTCATAGAGGTTACGTAATGGCATAATGCTACAAAACACGAAATGAGATGAAAAGCTCTAAGTTAAAATATCGCACGTGATACCATGTGATACCCCCCAAGTTAACTCTTGAATGGCAGGGATTCTCATCATTCCCTAATGACCGAATGGTATTACACTTGAGTATTGAGTGCTTTATTTTCATTCCAACAGAAAATATGTAACTTTTGATGTTCTCCTTCAATGGAATGAGGAATCGAGTGATAGCTCGTTACTTCAATCGAAGTCTCTTTCAATATTCTATAAGATACCGGAATTTCAAAAAAGATTATTCATCCAAGATTCAGTCCGTAACACAGAAAGTTCAACAATGAACACAATTAACAAGATGAAATAGTTAGAATCGAGGTTAGAATACAATGTATGCAAATCTCAGGAAATAAGTGAGTGCAGATTATCACGAGGATTATCAGTTTAGTAGTAATAAAGTCTGTAGGTAGTTGATGAGTAGGTAAGTTGATGAGTTGGGTTGTTGACGTGATTAGCCGTTGACGGGTTGAGCCGTTGATGAGTTGTGTCGATGATGAGTTGGGTCGTTGGTGAGTTGGGTCGTTGATGAGTTGTTTCGTTGATAATTTTGGTCGTTGGTGAGTAGGGTAGTTGATGATCTGGGTCGTTGATGAATCAGGTCGTTGATGAGTTGGGTCATTGATGAGTTGACTTTTGATTAAAT